TAATTACACTCTGGAATTGCCCATGGTGAGACGTGCTAAGCTGGTGTGGGTCTACTTTTAGCCCCCCGACATGATGCCTATGTGTTGGAGTTTTCCCCGATGGATAAGAGGGTAGCTTCACTGCGCCTTCGGGTGGTGGGACGGATTCTGACTGTTTGTGCCTACGTGCCAAACCGCACTTTGGACTATCCGGCCTTCTTGGAGTCCTTGATGGGGGTGCTGGAAGGTGTTAGGGACTCCTATATTGTGTTGGGGGACTTAAATGCCCACGTGGGTAATGACAGTGTGACATGGATTGGCGTGACTGGGAGGAACCACATCTCTGATCTGAACTCGAGCTGTGTTTAATTGTTGGACTTCTGTGCTAGTCATAGTTTGTCCATCATGAACACCATGTTCCAACATAAGGGTGTCCATAAGTGCACTAGGCACCAGGATGCCCTAGGTCGTAGATTAACGATTAACTTTGCAGTCATATCATCTGATTTGCAGGCATTTGTTTTGGACACTAGGGTGAGGAGAGGAGCTGAGCTGTCAACTGATCACTACCTGGTAGGGAATTGGATCAAATGGCAGGGGATGATGCTGGACAGACCCGGTAGACCCAAACGTGTAGTGAGAGTTTGCTGGGAACGCCTGGCAGAAGAACCCGTCAGAAAGATCTTCAACTCACACCTCTAGGAGAGTTTTAACCACATCCAAGCTGAGGTGGGGAACATTGAATTTGAGTGGGACATGTTTTGCGCCTCAATTGTGGACGTAGCTACCTTGAGCTGTGGATGCAAGGTTGTCAGTGCTTCTCGTGGTGGTCATTCTCGAACTACCTGGTAGACACCGGGTTAGGGAAGCTGTCAAACTGAAGGAGTCCTATCGGGCCTTGTTGGCTGGTGGGACTGTGGAGGCAAACGAGGAGGACCAGAGGGCCAAGCGGTTTGCAGCCTTGGTTGTAGCTGAGGCAAAAGCTCAGATGTGGGAGGAGTTTGCAGTGGCCTTGGATAGACTCTCAGTTGACTCAGATGAGATTCTGGCAAACCATCAGCTGGCTGAGTAGCGGAAAGCAGTACTAACACTGTTCAGTGAAGGTGGAGTGCTGTTGACCTCAAACAGTGATGTCATCAGGAGGTGGAAGGAGTACTTTTCATTTCTTCTAAATTCTAACAGCAAGTCTTCCATGAAGGAAGCTGAGCCGGGGGAATTTGGGGTTGGTCTTTCCAATAACCATGGCTGAGGTCACCGAGGTAGTTAAAAAGCTATGTGGCAGAAGAGCTCCGGGGGTGGATGAGATTCACCCTTATTCCCTTAAGGCTCTGGATCTCTAAGGCTCTGGATGTCTCTTAAGGCTCTGGATGTTGTGGGGCTGTCTTGGTTGACACTAGGGCTGTGCTTTTACGATTTAAGTTGAGCTATCTCGATATAAAACAATATAGTTTTATACTTGGAAATCCTGCCGTCTTCTTTCTCCCAGGCGCCCCACCCCCCCTCCTTCTACCTCCTCGAACACAAACACACAGCCCTGAGCAACGCTCCCCCTCCCCTTCCTGCTTCTCCAGGAGGTGGGCAAGCAGGAGGAGCAGAGACGTTAAGCAGAAATAAACGCAGCAGCTGAGAGTGTGTGAAGCTTGCAACTCCAACAGACCTGTCTCCTTTCTTGAAGCAAACCATGGTTCAGAGCACATTTAGCCTTTCTGTGTGCGTTTTAGAGTGTAAAGACGCTCTTATCTGCTGTGCTATATTGCTCGATGTATCACAACTGTATCTTGTCCTTTATCTGTATCTGCTTGGCTTTTGGATCCGCTTGCCTTTTGGTATCAACAAGTACAGAGTGAACTAAGTCAGAGAATGTATTTAAGTTGTTTGTGTACGGGACATGAACTAACAGGGAGCTGCTGGTGTGTGTGTCCCACCTGATGACAAGATCACCAAGTAAACTGGAACGGCAGAAGAAAATAATAAAACAACTCCATAAAAAGACTTCCAGGAAATGAAGACATCAGTTTGAACTAGTTTAGACAAAGAAGTGTAAGAATGTATGACACATCTCTGGGTGGAGCTTTTGTGTTTAAATACAGAAGATGCTGAAGCTCCAGTCAGACGTGTCTTGGGTTTTTGCTGTGTCTCTGTTGGTTTGGAGTAAGAGTGTCTCCATTCAGCTGAAAGTTTTAATAAATGTTGGTAATACTTTTTAACTTGAATCTCTCTGACTGATTATTGTGTCTTTTTGCCATGTATCTCCGAAACAATGAGAGGAACAGGTGAATAGGCTGAAAAGTCCGAGTTGTTGTGTTAATTTTCCTCAACAAGAGGAACACAGAGAGGAAGTACAACATTAATAAATAAGCAATCATATCGCTAAAGAATATGGTCCTTAGCGGCTAACAAGACGACTAACGCTTTAGCCGTCGTTATCTTACTTCTAACCTACAAAGCTCTCAACAACCTGGCTCCATCTTATATTACAGATCTTATCTCTTCCATATTTTCCCAACAGAGCACTTTGCTCTCAGACTGCAGGTTTACTTGTGGTTCCTAGAATTTACAAAAACAGAATGGGAGGCAGATCTTTCAGTTATCAGGCTCCTCTCTTGTGGAACCAACTTCCAATCTCTGTCTGTGAGGCTGATACATTATCCAGTTTTAAAACTAGGCTTAAGACTTTCCTTTTTGCTAAATCCTATAGTTAGGGTTGGCTTGGGTTTTCTGAGCTGTCCCTGAGTTATGCTGCTATAGGCTTAGACTGCTGGAGGACAAACTGATTACACTTTTCACTCTGCTACTGTCTTTACTTACTTTGTTCAACCTGTTTTGTATTTGCAATTATTTTTTCTATCCTTAGCATGTGTTGTTTTGTCTTTCAGATACACCTGGACTTAAATATATATATATATATATATATACACACACAAACCGGATTCCAAAAAGGATGTGGAGGTGCCAACATCTAATATTTTATTTAGAATAGAACACAAATCACCGATCAAAAGTTTAAACTGAGAGAATGTATCGTTTTAAGGGAAAATCTATTGTTTCCAAATTTCATGGCGTCAACAAATCCCAAAAAAGTTGGGACAAGTCCATTTTTACCACTGTGTGGCATCCCCCCTTCT